AAATCAGACTGTAATTACTAATTAAATTAATTAAATATTTTTCAACCACCACAAGTTCTTCAAACAATATACTGGGTTCTTCCTGGTATAAGAAATACAATTTTCTGCCTGTGTGCCTTTGCTTTATTCCTGCTTCTAACCAACATTTCCCCTAGTACATCTGCCTGGGGAAAAAAATCCAATCTGTATTTTGCCATCCAGTCTAAACACCTTCATAAATCTTTCCTACAACTCCACAAATAAATAACTTTACCAAGTTTCCACTGAATGTAGAACCCTGTCACTTCTTCTACCCCTCATAAGCCATGTTTGTCCTAAACAAGTTCCTTTTATACATTCAAATGCTCTTAGTTCCCAGTTAGACACACATAACAAAAAATGATGGGACATAGTTTTATATTTGCATTTTTTCCTCTCACAAAAAAGCTCTATTGAAGACTGTGGATACTACTTTATTATTGTGATTGACAAACAAATCACTCCAAATATTCTAAAAATCTGCTCCAAATATTCTAAAAATGTCATAACCCTGAATTGGATTACTGAAAAATGTCCGTTGTGAAACACAACATAGAAACAGGAAATTAGAATATGATGCCAAGACTCATACACAGTGGTTTAAGAATGAAAAACAACTATATATTGTGTACTTACTTTTCTTTCCTGCTCCCCAGTTGGCGAGCTGTATATGGATCTCCATAGTCAACTAACATCAGTTGTCGAGAAAAGATATTCACTTTGTTGCCTATAAATAAATCTTCCAAGCGCAGGTCATCATACTTGGTTCGTTTTAAAAAGGTACGATGATTCTTTACATCATGCTATAACCAAAAAGAACAACACAATTAAAAAAATATACCTGTCAATAAAGAATCTTCACTTCTGGTTTACCAAAGCTACATTATGTTCAGTTTCTTTTGTGCTACAATTATAATTTATATCATAAATTCTGTATTCCCGAATCTAGTGATACACACAAACTTTTAATATAAAAGCTTGTTATTGCAAATATAATACTTAAAACATTCTGAATAGAAATATTTGTTTATAGTTAAATTATTTAAGCAAGGCAAAGCCAAAAAAATCACAGAGAAAGAAAGACATATGTCCAAATTTCCGCTTTCTTGTAGGCACATTCGTTAATAAACAGACTCACTTGTTAATGGTGCTGTCTATGAAAGGACATGAAGAAAGGGACCCTATTCAATTTCACTTTTTGTACAGATAAAAGACAACTTTCAATAATGCTTATATTTATCACATAACAACTTTTACCAACTCATCGATTACTGCCTTATCTAAAACACAAACCCACTTCAATTTTCAAAAACGTTACAAGACATTAAAAATATAAGCACAAAGTTAAACTTTTACACTGTCACTATAATGAATACCCCCAGAAGAATTCTCATAAAATATATATGAATGTATTTTTACAGCAACTATATAAACAGCAATTCTATTCCTATCCTCTCCTACCTTCACTTTCCTTGACAACTTTCAAGCAAAGAAAGTTTCATTTACCATTTCAACAGATCCATCCCCTGGGTAAAATAAAAGCTCATAACGTCGAAGAAGTGAAGCATTTGGGTCATACCACTCTGCAATGAAAACGAATCTCTCACTATGATTCTGTGAAGAAAAATAAGAGTAATTTTAACACTAACATGTAAAATATAAGTACTCTTGCATAAGTTATACAAATGAGAATTTTCAAGTATTTCTAAGAAATATGCTACTGCCTATTATATTGAATTATTCTGTTTTTCAGTAAGATAACAGTCTCAGAAATATTTCCTGCTAATTTTGCATTTAATATCCTTAGACAATGCAAAGTTATGAACAATTTAATGTTTTGTGTCCATCCAATCATCTGAAATAAATTAATTTTGTTCAGAACATGAGCCCCTGATCTGACTAGTATAACAATTCAAAATCCATCTGAAAGCAAATTTACATACAAACTGTCAATAAATTAATATGAGAAAGTTTCCAAAAGGTTAAAACACAGTAGTTTTAACTTTCCTAAACTTAAGGATATTATCACTAAAATTTTATTGGAAACATCCCTTCTCGCCTTAGTGGTTTAATCATAGTATCTTTTAATAGAAATAGTATGCCAATATGTTTCTAGGAGAATCCAAGACAGGAATGAACATATAAAAATCATTAAGGAAAATTCTTACAAGAGAAAATGGGGAGGGAGTCAGGGAAGACTGGAAAAGCCCACAGACCCCCAGACAAAGGAGAATGAGTGGCAAACAGACAAGACAGACTACATGGGACCATCCTAGACTGCTGCATAGTCTAAGGAAGATCCAATAAGCCCATCAGGAAGGGAGCACCTCAAGGGCCAGAGGAGCACTTCAAGTCCCAGCGAGGGATCAGCTTTACTACCTCTGCCCACCACTGTCACTGCCTGGGAGCAGCCTTGGAAAGCACGTCTCAAGTTCAAATCAGCAGTGAAGCCCACCCTGACCCCCACTGTACAGGCCTGTAATCCAAGCTACTGTGGGGAGATGGTAAGGGGGAGGTTGTGAAGCAGGAGGATTCCAAGTTCCAAGTCCACCTTGGCAATTAGTGGGGTCCTATACGGAGGAGAAGGAAGAAAAGAAAGAAGGGTCATCACTGTTTTGTCTTTGTCTTGAGGTAACAACTTTCACTAGATTGTATGAGCCAAGTATGATACACTGCTTACCTACATTTGACTGCATTCTTTTTAGTTTTCTCTAACAGGTTTGAGTTACCCTTCAAAAATCTTAGTTATCTCTCATAATAATCAGGATCAAATATTGAATGAAGTATGGAGAGAGAGAGGCAGGGAAATGAAGATAAGCTAATAGTGTCAGGCTTATTTAATACATATCTCTGGTAAGCCTCACAACAAACCTGTAATGAAGGTATTCACTACAGTGGGAAAACAGAGGCTCAAAGACACTGTCTAGATACTTCACAGATCAAACAGGTGCTCGGCTTCAGAGACAGGATTCAATCAAAGGTTGTATAATGCACAAATCAATATCTATATCCAGATATCAAGAGCTGTGAATCAGCTAGCAGAGCAAAGGAGACGGAGACATTCTGCCTGAGCAGAAAAGGAGACCATGATATTAAGAATTATAGAATTCTGTACTACATTACTAATAGTCATTCAAGAACACAGCTTGAGGAACAATGCTTTGTTTTCTTCAGCCCCAAAACCACAACAGAGTACTATCTGACATAATTTCAATTTTTCAAAAAAGGCATTCTTAGAAACTTAATAAAATAATATGCTAATTAATATACAAGTGAAACAGTACTATATTTATAGTTTCCAAAATTGTGCAGGGTGAAGTCCTTAATGGCTACTATTTGCACATTTTATTTTTAAGAGTTACTGTTAAAAGAGAAATACTGATTACCACTATGTGCAAAATATAGTACTCTTAAGTCCAGAAGACAGGAAGAGAAAATGTTTAAAAACTGACTAACAAGCTAGGTTTGGAGATCCCATTCAACCCAGCCATTCTCCTGGGGATTTTTCTAGAAGAAATGAAAACATCATAGCACAGCGATATACATGCACCCATGTTTATAGCAGTGCAATTTGTTATAGCTAAAGACTGGAAACAATGCAGATGGCTGTCATATGAGGAATGGATAAAGAAGATGTGGTGTTCTTACACAATGGAGTATTATTCAGCTATAAAACAGGATATATTTGAGACTTTTGTTGGTAAATGGATGCAACTAGAGAACATACTCTTAAGTGAAATAAATCAGACCCGCATGTATAAGCATCATATTTTCTCCTTTAGTGGGAGAACCTGCAAGAGAAAAATGGAATCTGAAGCGTGCAAGCGATACTGGTGAAAGGCAATGAGCTCATTAAAAGGAAAGAGTTACTGAGTTGAGGACAGGAGAGGGAATGGGGGAAAGAGACATATGTATGTAAGAGGGATGGTTTGGACAACTGTACTATGGATTTCAGCTGGTCTATGAAAAGGAGCAGATAATGCTTAATTTCTTTTGTCTCCTTTTTTCAACTGTTTCTCCTTTTTCTCTTAATCTTACACATTTCTTGCTTTTTTTCTTTCTTATTCCAATTTTGCATGCATACATCTGGGAATATGAATAACTGGTTGAAAGACAACATTATGTATCACAATAAACACTGTGAAATTCATATTACTTTGTTAAGTGAAATTCGGTATCACTTGTAATTTTTGTTTTAATACTATTTTGTAATCTATAAAATAAATAAATTCAAATTAAAACAGACTAACAGAAGAAGCTTAGAAGTAACTGAAAAGATCTGTGAATATTATTTTTTAAAATAAAAGCAGTGGTTATTATTATGATGATGAGGTCATTTTTTTCCATATCTTTAAAACTCCATTACAATTGTGGCTCCAAACTTTTGACTATGTAAGTCACAACATGATCTAATCTATATACACTACAGATATATTAACTGCATATTTTCTGTCAATTAGTATTATTTATTGTGCTTTAAGATATCATCTGTTGTATTATTAAAAAAAAAAAAACCACTGATGGAGAACCCACTTCATGACCTACAACCAAGGCCAAAAGCCTTTCAAAACACTGCTTTGCCACCCTTTCCCCTTCCTGCAAAGCACATGCATCCTCACTCCTTCCCATCACTCAAAAATGATTTTCCCTATGTGAACCGCACAAGATGTCTGTCACTAAAAATAAATGTGCTGAATTTAAAACAGACTACTAATAGAAAATAACTGTGTATTTAACAAGCTGGGAGAAATAATTTCTGAAATATATTTTAATCTATCTTGACTACTGACCCATTCTTGCTTCCTGCTATGGTCTGGATGTTTGTCCTGCCCTAAAATACCTATGTTGAAAACCTAATCCTAATGTGACATTTTTAGGATGTGTAGATTTTGAATGGGATTAATACTATATAAGAGACAGCCTCTTGCCCCTTCCACCATGAGAAGACACAGCAACAAGGTGTCATTTGTGAAGAAGAAAATGGCCTCTCATCAGACACCAAGTCTACCAGTACCTTCTCTTGGAATTCTTAGCTTCCAGAACTGTAAGAAGCAAATATCCTTCGTAGATGGACTATTTTGTTATAGTGGCCCCCAGAGACTATACGGTCTCAAAAGGAAGGAAATTATGACTCTTTTTCAATAAGCACATCAAATGAGCTTTTCACTTAAATATACAAGGAAAAACCCCATGGTGCTATTAGGTCAGAACTATACGGAACAGAGTTAAATTTTTTAAAGAAAAACAGAACAGAGAAAAAAAAATACTATTTGTGAAATCATTTACTTAAACATGGTCCAATTAAAGAACCAATATACTTCACTGAAATTAAGCAATTATATTCTAACCACCAAGAATAAGCAATTATATAGAACTACTTACTAATTAAACATCAAGTTTCAAATATATGTTACATGAATATTTATCCATACATTCTGTTTAATTAAACCTCTGAGTTGTAACACTATGCCACGTAGTTTTTATCTCTTTCATAAAGCAATGAAATCTATGGTGAATTTCTAATTTAAAAAATCAAATCTGGGTCAGCCAGATAGCGCAATGGGTTAAAGCACCTGCTTAGGCAGAAACAGGGGCAGGGGGTTTGACTTCCCAGCACGCCCTGCTGGCTCCGCCGCCTGGATGCCCCAAGATGCCAACGAGATTGGGCGTAGTGGTCCACACCTATAATCCCAGAACTTGGGAGGCTGAAAAACAGGAGGATCACTACAAGTCTGATCTGTACAGTGAGACCCTGTAGACCCTTGTACTAAATGCATTAAAAAACAAAAAATCAAATCTACTACAGGCTTATTTGGCATGTTTCTCATATTTTCCCATTTACCCAATAATTTAGAACAAAATTTTGCAATGTCCCTCATTTTGTATGGCATGTCATAATTCAGCCATCTTCTACAAATCAATTGAGTTTAATAAAATATTTTCATTATTATTTTAAAACCTAACATAATGGACTCTAAGAAGATAAGATATCTTGGCTGAACTTTTAAACAGTATTATTGACGATGACAGAACTGGATAACCTCTACTGTACTGTGATTTATTACTTAATACAAAGAAACATTTAAGGCCTACCTTCATCTTTTTTCTAAAATTACAAATCTTAAAATATTTATTTTTGATACAAACTAAATTATCCTCAAAGGAATCATTTTTAGTTAAATAAAAGTCATGGAAAAGAAAAAGGAAAAGAAGGAAGAAAATAATGAGAAAGAGGAAGTGGAGAAAGATCTCACACACAGATTGACCAGAACAAAGGCCATCCACTAAAGAAATGATGGTCCTTCTAACTTACTAAACTCTTTGCCTTTACAGTCAGTATCATGTAGAGGTCAAATGCCTCATTCAGGTCTATTGTGTACCAAGGTAGCTATCTGACCCCTGATAAGTTATTTAATCTTTCTAAGATTTGCTCTGTAAGGTTACCATTAGGATTAAGTGAATTAATCTATTTGACAATCTCCACATATGGGAAGCCTACTCAATAAATGGTGGGTGTTACTGGAGAACAAGCTGGAAGAATAGTAAACAGGAGAGTACTAGTAGTACTATTGGGAATAAATTTTCATTTCCACATGTGACAATGTGTACCTGTT